ACAAGAACTCACTCAGTATCAAGAGAACAATGCTAAGGGGATGGTGCTAAGGCATTCCAGAGAAATCTATCCCCATTATCCAATCACCTCCATTATTGGGGATTACAATTCAACATGAGTTTTGGATGGGGACACATATTCACACTACATCATCACCATCTACCAAAATCAACTCAAAATGGATTAAAGACTTAAGCATGCTGAAATGACTCCTTCCTTATACCTGCATAGTGTATTTGTACCACATTTTCTTCATTTAGTCTACCATTAATGGGCATTTAGGCTGATTCCATATCTTTGCTTTGTGAATAGTGCTGCAATGAACATATGTGTGCATGTGTCTTTATGGTAGAACAATTTATATTCCTTTGACTATATACCCAATAATGAGATTGCTGAGTTGAATGGTAGTTCTGCATTGAGTTCTTTGAAAAATCACCAAATTGTTTTCCACAGTGGCTGAACTGATTTACATTCCCACCAGCAGTGGATAAGCATTCCACCTTTTCACAATCTTGCCTGCATCTATTAGTTTTTGACTTTTTTTTTTTGTTGAGATGGAGTCTCACTATTGTCACCCGGACTAGAGTGCAATGGTGTGGTCTCCGCTCACTGCAACTTCTGCTTCCTGGGTTCCAGCAATTCTTCTGCTTCAGCCTCCAGAGTAGCTGAGATTACAGGCGCCTGTCACCACACCCAGCTAAGTTTTGTATTTTTAGTAGAGACGGGGTTTCACCATGTTGGCCAGGCTGGTCTCAAACTCCTGACCTAAGGTGATCCACCTGCCTCAGCCTCCCAAAGTGCTGGGATTACAGACATGAGCCACCATGCCCAGCCTAGTTCTTGACTTTTTAGTAAGTCATTCTGACTGGTGTGAGATGGTATTTCATTGTGGTTTTGATTTGCATTTCTCTAATGATTCGTGATGAGCATTTTTTTCACACACTTGGCCATTTGTATACATTCTTTTGATAGTGTCTGTTTATGCCTTTACCCACTTTTTAATGGAGTTGTTTGTTTTTTGCTCCTAAATTTAAGTGCCTGGATATTAGACCTTTGTTGGATGCATAATTTGCAAATATTTTCTCCCATTTTATAGATTGCCTGTTTACTCAGTTGATTGTTTCTTTTGTTGCACAGAAGCTCTTTAATTAGGTCACATTTGTCAATTTTTTGTTGTTGTTGTTGCAATTGCTTTTGGCCTCTTCATCATGAAATCTTTGCCAGGGTCTATGTTCAGAATGGTATTTCGTTGGTTTTCTCCTAGAGTTTTTATAGTTTTAGATCTTCCATTTAAGTGTTTAGTCTATCTTGATTTTTGTACATGGTGTAAGGAAGGAGTTTCAATCTTCTGAATATGGCTGGCAGTTATCCCAGCGCTATTTCTTGATAAGACAGTCCTTCCCCCATTGCTTGTTTTTGTCAGCTTTGTCAAAGATCAGATGATTGTAGGTGGGCAGTTTTATTTTTGGACTCTCTATTCTATTCCATTGGTCTATGTGTTTGTTAAGTTTGTTTGAGGAAGATTTAGAGGGCCAGAGCTTAGCTCAGTATTCCTAGTTTGCCCGCTCTAACTCCAGGGCTGCTGGTACCAGGCCCCCAGCTTTGTTCTCTGGCCTCAGGAGCTTAGGAAACTGCTGTGGTGGGGCCCAGGTGTTCCTCCTCTGCCATCCACAGTATTATAATGGAAAGTGCTGACCAGTGCCTTTCCTCAGGTGGTGGCATAGCATAGCAGGGTCTATACTAGCTTGAGTGTGGCAGCAGCAGCCGTGGTGGGTAGGGTAGCCAGGTGCTGGCAGCAGTGAGGCACTGGATTCTGTACACACCCTCATGCAGGCCACATTGGCATGTCAGAGTGCTGTACATTGACGGTGGCAGGGTGTGCTCACGCCAGTGATGGTGGCGAGACAGGGTGCATGCACACACACATGCCAGTGGGAGGGAGGAGGTAAGCTCACCTGAACTTGCAGGCCAACAAAGCAGTGGAGAAGACCTTGGGTGAGTGTATGATGGCAAAGCAAGGTTGGGGGAGGCTGTAGGGGAGTGGAGGCTGTAGGTAGGCATGTGTGCATCCATGATGGCTGGTTGGTGGGAGCTCTCTGACATTTAGACATGGTCTGCTAGTGAAGGAGCTATGAGGAGGGTCCCCAGGAAGCACCCTGGTTGGTCATGTGAGGCTGTGCTGCAAGCAAGCACACCAGGCTGGGGCCCCAGGAGAGGCTGGCAGATGGGATACTCAGATCAGATTGGCCGCATCCCATGGACAAGACTGCCCTACTCTGTCTAGGTCCTACAGTTACCCAAAGGCTAAAGCCACCTACAATAGTATGGCAAGCCTTGGAGGATGGGCATCCCTGGCCATCCTGCTCCACCTATATTTTAAACTATTTTGTCTTTCAGCAGATTTTTTTTACTTAATATATGACATGTTATTTTTTTCCAGGAAATCATTGATTTTTTTAAGTTTAAATATTTTTTTCAAGTTGAGATAATAGGACACATGAGAAGTGCTGGAAATGTTTTTATAGCACTATGAAATGTATTTCATGATTATGAATTGTTTCATCTGAAAAAGATTCTGAACATAGAGATACAAATTTTCAAAGTTAAACTCTCATTATTGAAAAGTCAAGGTTCCATCTTCCCACTATAGGTCTGCTTTTGAAAGCAATGCAGGTAGAACACTTTAGTTTTGTTGCCTCAGTCCCCAAAACCTGCATTGTTAAGCACTAATCTTTTATTAACTAATAATTTTTTGAAAAGACCATAAATATGTACTGAATATAAAGATTTAGAAATATATATATTTTTTAACAAATCTAGGAAAAATATAGGGAAGCTATATGCTTACAGCTACATACATGCTGATATTTTTTAAATTGGACTGATAGTTGACAGTTGTGTCCAATGAGAGCACTGGGAAGCAGATATTCAGACACAATAAAGAGGTCAAACATCAGGGGGTAATGACTAAGAAAGGAAGGCAGAGAAGAAGCAGGATTGTGCAGAGATAGTCTCAGTCTTCAATGCAGATCTGACAGAAGCTCTCACAATGGGGAGTTCTGGAGCAAAGATTATCTATTACGAAAATCTTGTGTTGGGCTATTTTGCCCAGACATTGGCTGGGGCTGCTTGAAAAGATGGTGGCCTCAGCATGAAAGCTGAAGCATATTCTAAAGCTGTTGTAGTTGGGGACTATCAGCTAACTACACTCCTTGCATTGGAACAGCTGGTTCTTTGTTTGAGGAGACCTGAGCAGAGGACCTTCAGGGTTGCCACATTGGTGATGATAATAGTTATCATTGAGTAATTCCTACTCTCCAGGCACCACAGGTTATCTTTGCATATATTATTTGTAACTCTTGCATCACAGTCCCTAGCGATAAAATAACCTTCATTGTTCAAATAGGAAAATTAAAAGATAGCCAGTAAGTTAGAGGCTGATGTGTTTTTATTGTAAAGGCACTCAGAAATATTTCTGACAAAAATTTTCCTAATAAACTATTCCATATTATGTCTTGTACCAACAATCAGTTTAAGAGATTTTAAGCCAGAAGGGAAAGAAAGAATGAAAGTAAGATTCCAGACTTGAGATCTTATAATAGACACCTATTCAAAAAAAGCATTTATCAGAAGGAAATGGTTGTTTCATGGAATCTAAAGGTTGAAAAGGCAGCTGATTTCTAGAAAGAAAGCTGCCTGTATGTGTCTAACTATCACTTACTTTCTACTCTACCTTTCTTCTTATTTCTTTGCTGTTGCTATCCCAGATTTTCTCTTTCACAGTCTCAAGCTCTGTCTCTTTTCCTTGGTCTCTGTCTTGATCTCTCTCACTATCCTCATCAATCTTTCTCTCTCAATCTTTGCTTACAATCTATGTTGATCTCTGTTTTTTCTCTCTCTCTTTTTTCCTCTCTCCTTCTCTTAGTCTTCTTTTTCTCTCCTTCACTTTTGCTTTTCATTCTCCCTCTCCTACCTCCTCTCCTTTTCTCTACCTCTTCCCTCGTCTCCTCTCCCTTCCCCTCTTCCCTTCCTCTCTTTCTCTCTCTCTCTTCCTCCCTTCCCTCTGTTTTGGTCTCTCCCTTCCTTTCTTTCACTTTCTTTAGATCTTGGATTTTGTCTGTTTCTCTCCTTACTCTTTCATTCTTTCTTGCTTTGTCTGCCTGCCTCTTTGTATCTGCAAGAAGTAGAAAATGAGCCTACATCCTACTTTATAATTTCTTTAATTTTAATCTTCCATAAATGAAAGTATATACATTTAAAATCATATATTTTAAGCTAATTATCCTTGCTACATATGTTTTCACAGCTTCAGAAATAACTTATAATCTCTTTCCACAAAAAGGACAGTAATATACTAAGAATTAAATGCTGAAAGTAAAATACCTTTCTTAGCAGTTAACAAAGATAACCAAGGAACTATTTCCTAACTCAACACTCTAATTAGCTTTTCTTCCTAAATTAACCAAAATTTCAACCAAGGTATTCTCATATAGTTGCTATCCCGTATAGAGTTCTCTTGGACATTGTTTGATCTAGCTCAAGTGAGAAAATTCTTTAGTTTCCTGTGAGTTAGTTTAAAATTTAATAAACAGGGCCAGGTGTGGTGGCTCATGCCTGTAATCCCAGCACTTTGGGAGGCTGAGGTCAGGAGTAGGAGATCAGCCTGGCCAATATGGTGAAACCCTGCCTCTACTAAAAATACAAAAATTAGCTGGGTGTGAGGGCATGTGCCTGTAATCCCAGCTACTCGGGAGGCTGAGGCAGGAGAATTGCTTGAATGGTGGGTGGCGTTTGCAGTGAGCTGAGATCACTCCACTGCACTCCAGCCTGGGCAACAGAGCAAGACTCTGTGTCAAAAAAAAAGGAAAAATTTAATAAACAGATTGCGGATTTTTTTGTATTCCATATTATGATGTAGTCAACTAACTTTAAATTATAGTTTTACTATACTAGTTTATTTCTGCTGTCTAATCCCTATTTTATAAAAACATTTATAGAAAACAAATTCCAGTACTTCTGATAAGAAAAAGAGAGGCCTTTTGACAAGTACTCCATCTTCAGAGACAGCTGGTTTTGTGGTAAGCATTAGCATTTGGTGCTTGTAATATCTATTTTCTGGCTCTTTCTCTCCCCATTATTCTGTTTTTCTCATATCGGGGTATATTGCCTATAGAGAATAATATCTGTGTTTTTCTGTTGCTAAAGCACACTTTCAATGGAAGTACTCTGTATACTCCTATACATGCAAGAGAGGAGAGATTAGAGTACTCTAACAACAACCAGGATTCTTCTTTATTTTCCCTTCAGTTTAAAAAATTGTGGTGAAACATGTAACATAAAATTTATAATTTTAACCATTTTTAAGTGTACAGTCGAAGTACATTCATTCATGTTGTGATGTAACCATCACCACTCTTAATCTCTAGAACTTTTTTCATCTTGCAAAACTGAAATTTCATATTCATTAAACAGTAACTTCCTACTCCTTCCTACCTCAGCTCCTGGAAATTACCATTTTACTTTCTGTTTCTATAATTTGATTCTGCTAGGTACCTCATATAAGTAGAACCATACAGTATTTGTCCTTTGTGTTTAGCTTATGTCACTAGCATGGCATCTTCAGGTTCATCTATGTTACAACATGCATCAGAATTTTATTTTTAAGGATGAATTGATGTTCCATTGTATGTATGTGATACATTTTGTTTATTCATTCGTCTCTGATGGACAATTTGGTTGCTTCTGACTTTTGACGATTGTGAATAATGCTGTTATGAACATGGGTGTACAAATATATTTTTGAGTCACTGCTTTCAACTCTTTTGGGCATATATCTAGAAGTGGAATTGCTAGAGCATATGGTAATTATATTTTTAACTTTTTGAGGAACCATCACACTGTATTCCACAGTAGCTGCACCATTTTACATTCCCACTAGCAAATGCACAAGAGTTCCAGTTTCTCTACATCCTTACCAGCACTTATTATTTTCTTTTTTTTTTTTTTGTAATAGCCATTCTTATGTGGCTATTGAGGTGGTATCTCAGTGTGGTTTTTGGTTTGTATTTCCCTAATAAGGATGGTGTTGAGCATGTTTTAATGTGTTAATTAGCTATTTGTATATCTTCTTTGGGAAAATGTCTATTTGAGCCCTTTGTTTATTTTTGAATTTTTAAAATTGTTGCGTTGTAGTTCTTCATATATTTGGGATATTAACCCATTACTCAATATATGATTTACAAATAATTTGCTCCCTTCCGTGGGTTGCCTTTTCACTCTGTTGATAGTGTCCTTTGATGCACAAATGTTTTTTACTTTGTCATAGTACAATTTATTGTTTTCTGTTGTCACCTGTTCTTTTGGTGTCATATCCAAGATATCATTATCAAATCCAATGCTATGCAGTCTTTTCTCTGTTTTAATTTCTCTATGTTTTCTTCTAAGAGTTCTATAATTTCAGCTTTCACCTGACCAGGATTCTCTTAGGTTCAACTAAATAACAGGAATACAACTTGCCAGCAGCACATCATCAGGTGTTCCTCTTCAGTGTGAGCAATTCTCATAGAGGTCCATGCAGCAGCTTACAAAGCAGTGTGGGGACTGCTCAGGCACAGAGAGATAAAATCCAGTATCTTTTGTAACAACACGTATACATAACGTCTATGGTCTCCACAAAGGACATGTGTAATTGCAGTATTCCTGCACTCAGGGAAACCCAAAGTATTTTAGTTTTTATAGTGCAATATTTGTTTATTTATAGTGCATTTATAGTTCTTCCCAGAGATGCAATTTTCCAATCAGACATTATTTACCATAAGCAACATTGCTTAGTAACATAGTTGCATTCTTATACTTCTCAGGTTCCTAGGGGAAAAGAGTTACAGAGATAACCAAAGATGAGATGCTCCTGATGGGAGAAAGAGTTTTGTTAATACTCTGCTCACAGTCTTTCCAGCAGTCCAAAAATCAGTACTTTTTAAAATAAATGAGTGTCTCATTTTTTATTCATTCTTGGTTGATATTTGGAATTTAAGTGTATTGATGAACAATAAATGTACCAAAATGATTTTTTTGTGGCAAAACTAATGACTAGTGACTACTTTAAAAATATTGACATATTTTTAAAACTGAGGTACAATTTCCATTATATAAAACTCACTATGCTAAAGTGTATAATTCAGTGGTTTTTAGCATACTTACAAACTGTCCAGCTATCGCCACAATCCTATTTAAGAACATTTTCATTACCCCATTCATTAGTAGTCATTCCTCATTCCCACATCCCACCCTCCAATTCCAAGAAACTACTGATTTAGTTTCTGTCTCTATAGGTTTGCTTTCTGAGTATTTCATGTAAATGAGATCATGTAACACGTGGCCTTTTGTGCCTGGTTTCTTTCACTTAGCATAATGTTTCAAAAGTTCATCTATGTTTTAGCAAGTATCAGTACGGCATTTCTTTTTTTTTTTGAGACGGAGTTTTGCTTCTCTTGTTACCCAGGCTGGAATGCAATCTCGGCTCACCGCAACCTTTGCCTCCTGGGTGCAGGCAATTCTCCTGCCTCAGCCTCCTGAGTAGCTGGGATTACAGGCACACGCCACCATGCCCAGCTAAATTTTTGTATTTTTAGTAGAGACGGGGTTTCACCATGTTGACCAGGATGGTGTCAATCTATTTTTTTTTTTTTTTTTTTTTTTTTGAGACGGAGTTTCACTCTTGTTACCCAGGCTGGAGTGCAATGGTACGATCTCGGCTCACTGCAACCTCTGCCTCCTGGGTGCAGGCAATTCTCCTGCCTCAGCCTCCTGAGTAGCTGGGATTACAGGCACACGCCACCACGCCCAGCTAATTTTTTGTATTTTTAGTAGAGACGGGGTTTCACCATGTTGACCGGGATGGTCTCGATCTCTTGACCTTGTGATCCACCTGCCTTGGCCTCCCAAAGTGCTGAGATTACAGGCTTGAGCCATCACGCCCGGCCTGCATTTCTCTTTTTACGACCAATGTATTAGTCTGTGTTTTCAGTTGTCTTGACTGTACACAGCCATCCCTCAGTATCCATGGGGAATTGGTTTCAGGACTTCTCAAAGATACCAAAATACATGGATGCTAAAGTTCCTGATATAAAATGGCATGGTATTGTTTTTTTCATGTAATCTGTGTGCATCCTGTATACCTTAAATCATCTCTAAATCAACTGGTCATCTTTTTTGAAATTTTGAATTTGCTACAGAAATGTGATTTCAATAACCTGACAGAAAAATTGATATGGTGCTTAGGAGAGAGTTCTGTGTTAGAGACAGTGATTTTAAAAATCTTTGTTGTTCAAATGGTAGGCAAGAACATAAGGGAAGAATGCTGGGAATTTACATTTAAAGGAAGAGCAGGGGAAATTACTGTAGGAAACATGGTTGCTGGATAGATAAATTTCGTTTAGTAGGCACTTGATAAATGTTTGGATGGCTGAATAGAAAAAAAAAACATGTTTCATAGCAAACAAAAATTCCTAACTAAAAAATAACTTTAAAGTGAAAGAATGTTATAACCCTCTTTACAGATTGATTTGTCTCTAAACATGCATTTTTTGAAGAGTTATTTCCAAATGTCAATAATTATGTTTATTTAGATGAAATTGTTTCTGTGTCAAGTTTACAGGAAAATGCTTCCAATGATACGGTATTTTAAAACTTTTCTTTAATTACTTAAAAATCATTGCTTTTGCAATATTTAACTTCTGCAAAAGAATAATGTATTCTTTTATAGATTGATTTGTCCTCAGTGCAAAAAGCATCTTGTGAAGAACTGTTCTCAAATGTCAGCAATTATGTTAATTCAAATGAAATTGTCCCTGTATCAAGTTTGCAGGAAAATTCTTCAAATGAGGTAGTATTTTCTATTTTTCCTTTGATTACTAAAGAGAACAGTTACTGTTACATTAGATACTTTGCATATGAGGTACTTTAAGAAATCTCTTAACTCATCAGATACATAATTTGCTAATATTTTCTCCTGTGGGTTACCTTTATACACTTTGGTTAGGGTCTTTGATGTCCATGAAGGACAATTTGTCTGTTTTTTCTTTTGTCGCTCATTCCTTTGGTGTCCCGTGCAAGAAATCATTGTCAAATCAAATGTCTGAAGCTTTTGCCTTATATTTTCTTTTCTTTCTTTTTTTTTTTTTTTGGACAGTCTCACTCTGTCCTTCATGCTGGAGTGCAAAGGTGCAATTAAGGCTCACAGGCTCACTGCAGCCTTGACTTCCAGGACTCAGGTTATTCTCCCACCTCAGCCTCTCAAGTAGCCAAGACTACAGGTGTACACCACCATGCCCAGCTAATTTTTTGCATTTTTTTGTAGAGGCAGTGTTTTGTCATGGTGTCCAGGCTATTGTCCTGTATTTTCTTCAAATGTTTTTTGTTTTAGGTCTTGCATTTAGGTTATTGATCCATTTTGAGTTAATTTTTGTGTATTGTGTTAAGTAAGGGCCCAATTTCACTCTTTTGCATGTGGATATCCAGTTTTCTCAGCATAATTTGTTGAAGAGACCATCCTTTCCCCCAGTGGATGGTCCAGCACCCTTGCCAAAAGTCATTTAACCATACATGTGAGGGTTTATTTCTTAGCTCTCTATTCCATTGATTTATGTGTCTGTCTTTATGTTAGTACCATACGGCTTTGATTACGGAAGCTCTGTGCATTTTGAAATCAGGAAGTGTGAGTCCTCCAGCTTTGTTCTTCCTTTTTATTATTGTTTTTACTATTCAGGATCCCTTGAGATTCCATGTGAATTTTAAGATTAGTTTTTCTGTTTCTGCAAAAAAAAAAAAAATCATTGGGTTTTTGATAGAGATTGAATGGAATCTGTAGATCACCCTGGGTAGTAATGGCATCTTAACAGCATTATATCTTCCAATCCATAAACATGGGATGTGTTTTCATTTATTTATATCTTCTTTAATTTATTTCACCAATGTTTTGTAGTTTTCATTGTGTAGGTCTTTGACTTATTTGGTTAATTACTAAATGTTCTTTTGGATGCTATTATGAATTGAATTGTAATTTATTTTCAGATTGCTCATTGTTAATATGTAGAAATTCACCTGGTTTTTGTGTTTTGACTTTGCATCCTGCTAATTTGCTGAATTCATTTATTCTAACAATTTTTAATTCAATCTTTAGGGTTTTCCACAATGATAATGTGTTATCTGTGAACAGAAATAATTTTACTTCTTGCTTTACAATTTGGATGCCTTTTATTTCTTTTTCTTGCCTAATTGCTCTGGCTAGAACTATCAGTAGTATGTTGAAAATGCAGACATCCTTGCCCTTTTCTCGTCTTAGAGGAAAAGCTTTACATCTTTTACCACTGAATGTGAAGTTTACTGTGGGGTTTTCATATATGGCCATATTAGTTTATTTTCACATTGCTATAAAGAAATGCTTGAGACTGGGTAATTTATAAAGAAAAGAGGTTACTTATGGTTCCTCAAGTTGTACAGGAAGCATGATTCTGGCATCTGCTTCTGGAGAAGGCTCAAGAAGCTTCCAATTATGGTGAAAGGCAAAAGGGGAGCAAGGTATCTTACATGACCAGAGCAGGAGGAGGAGAGAAAATGGGGAGGTGCCACACACTTTTAAACAGCAAGATCTCACAATAATTCCCTCACTAGAACAGCAACAAAGGCATGATGCTAAACCATTGGGACCACCCCCAATGGAGTAGCACTCCCATGATCCAGTCACCTCTCACCAGGCCCCACCTCCCAACACTAGGGATTACAATTCAACATTAGATATGGGGAGAGACATGAATCCAAACCGTATCAGTGGCTTTTATTTTTTATTTATTTATTTTTAATTTTTTATTGGATTTTAGGTTTTGGGGTACATGAGCAGAGCATGCAAGACAGTTGCGTAGGAACACACATGGCAGTGTGCTTTTCTTTCTTTCTCCCCTTCACCCACATTTGGCATTTCTCCCCAGGCTATCCCTCCCCACCTCCCCCTCCCACTAGCCCTCCCCTTTTCCCCCCAATAGACCTCAGTGTTTAGTACTCCCCTTTCTGTGTCCATGTGTTCTCATTTTTCATCACCCGCCTATGAGTGAGAATATGCGGTGTTTCATTTTCTGTTCTTGTGTCAGTTTGCTGAGGATGACGTTCTCCAGATTCATCCATGTCCCTACAAACGACACAAACTCATCATTTCTGATTGCTGCATAATATTCCATGGTGTATATGTGCCACATTTTTCCAATCCAGTCTATTATCAATGGGCATTTGGGTTGATTCCAGGTCTTTGCTATTGTAAACAGTGCTGCAATGAACATTCGTGTACATGTGTCCTTATAGTAGAACGATTTATAGTCCTTTGGATATATACCCAGTAATGGGATTGCTGGGTCAAATGGAATTTCTATTTCTAAGGCCTTGAGGAATCGCCACACTGTCTTCCACAATGGTTGAACTAATTTACACTCCCACCAACAGTGTAAAAGCGTTCCTTTTTCTCTACATCCTCTCCAGCATCTGTTGTCTCCAGATTTTTTAATGATCGCCATTCTAACTGGCGTGAGATGGTATCTCAATGTGGTTTTGATTTGCATCTCTCTGATGACCAGTGACGATGAGCATTTTTTCATGATTGTTGGCCTCATATATGTCTTCTTTCGTAAAGTGTCTGTTCATATCCTTTGCCCACTTTTGAATGGGCTTGTTTGTTTTTTTCCTGTAAATTCGTTTGAGTTCTTTGTAAATTCTGGATATCAGCCCTTTGTCAGATGGGTAAACTGCAAAAATTTTTTCCCATTCTGTTGGTTGCCGATCCACTCTAGTGACTGTTTCTTTTGCCGTGCAGAAGCTGTGGAGTTTCAGATATTTTTCTTTTTAAAATATATTAAGCTCATTTTCTGTTATATCTCTGATCATTGCCTAGTTTCATTTACTTTTTTTTGCAATGCAAATAGTCTTTAAATTTGGTTTGTTTTGTTTTCTGTTTCATAAATCTTTTTTTTTTTTTCCCCGAGAGGATCTCACTCTGTTGCCCAGGCTGGAATGCAGTGGCATGGTAATGACTCACTGTAGCCTTGACCTCCCAGGCTCAGTTTATCCTCCCACCTCAGCCTCCCAAGTAGCTGGGACTACAGGCATGTGTCAGCACACCTGGCTAATTTTTGTATTTTTTTTTTTTTATTGTAGAGACAGGGTTTCACCACATTGCCCAGGCTGATCTAGAACTTCTGTTATCAAACAATCCACCCACCTCAGCCTCCTAAAGTGCTGACATTTGCAGGCATAAGTCACTGTGCATAGTCTCATAAATCTTAAAATCAGTGGAGATGCTACCCAATTTATGGCATATGGTAAACTGTGACCACTTTTTTGTGTGTTTCTCCTAGAGTAAATTATTATCTTGTTTGCTTCTTGTATTAATGCCCTAGAGATGCTGTAACAAAGGACCACAACTAGATGGTTTCTTAAAACAACAGAAATATATTCTTTCAGTTGCGGAGGCCAGAAGTCTCAAATCAAGGTGTTGGCAGGGCCATGCTTTCTTCACAGCCTTGAGGGCAGGCACTGTCTTCTGTCTTCTGTTACACTCAGGCATTTCTTGGCTTGTGGCAGCATAACTCCAATATCTACCTCCTAACTTCCCATGACTATTTTTTCCCTTTGTTTGTTGTTGTGCCTTTGCATGTGTTCTCCTTGTGTGTCTGCGTCTGTGTTCAAATTTCCCTCTTCTTATAAGGACACTAGTCAGATTAAAGCCCATCCTAACAACCTTATCTGAACTTGATTTCATCTGCAGAGACTCTGTTTCCAAATAAGGTCACCTTCACAAGTACTGGGAGTCAGGACTTCAACATATCTTTTTTGGGGAGAACACCATTCAACCCATAACACTTGTTTTCTTATTTTTCTGTCTAGTCCATCCTGAACTCTTTGCTGATTGCCTATATTGCCTCTTTAGATCTTCAGATTTACCAAATTTACCACAAGTTTCAATTTACTAAGAAAATCTCTCCTAGAGCATTCTGACCTGTTCCCACATAGGGTGCTATTGCCCTCTATGCCCCATCCTGGGATCTCCTCATACCATCATCCAGAGAATTCGCTTTGACAATTCTCTTTTTTTAGAAGCTAATTTTCCATTGGATTCCTATGAGAGGGTACGTGATATAGAAATTGAAACTTTTCATGACCAAAAATATTTTTATTTCATCTACATATTTGATTTTTTAAGTTGGCTAGAGAGTTTTATAATTTTTTTCAGCATAACGTTATTATAATTCTAGCTTCCAGTGTTGCTTTGGAAAGCAATGCTGAGTTTTTCTCCTTTATTAATGATCAACTATTTCTCTGTGGAAGATAGAGGGATCTTCTCCTTGTCCCTTGTGTTCTGAAATTTTATGATGATGTGCTTCAGTGGTTTCTGCTTTTATCTTTATTGACTTTTTTTTTCTATTTTCTTTCAGCTTATTTTATACATTGCTTAATACTGGTTTAGCTTTATCCAACAAGTTATAGGTTATAATTTCAGCATTATTTGGGTTTATGTAGTTTTAAATTCCATTATAATTTTTCCTTTGAGTCAGGAGTTTCTTAGAAATGTGGATTTTAGAATTCTGAGTGTATGAGAACTTCTTTTTTTTTTTTTTTTTTTTTTTTTTTTGAGATGGAGTTTCGCTCTTGTTACCCAGGCTGGAGTGCAATGGCATGATCTCAACTCACCGCAACCTCCGCCTCCTGGGTTCAGGCAATTCTCCTGCCTCAGCCTCCCGAGTAGCTGGGATTACAGGCACGCGCCACCATGCCCAGCTAATTTTTTGTATTTTTAGTAGAGACGGGGTTTCACCATGTTGACCAGGATGGTCACGATCTCTT